ACTTTTCAAAAGCATCAATGAGATGTTTCCTATGTATTCATCAAAACTTTACGTTTTTCCTCTCATAAATGAAGTGAAGGTTCAGGTCTTTAATATTCTATATGACTTTAGAGACGGCTACTCTAAATGTGCTCACTGTCATATCCTCTGTTGAGAACATCTGCTCACTGATCCTTTACCTACCGGAGGATGTTGGATGTAATGAACAGCAAGGGCCTCATACAAACTCTCAGTATGTGATGCTTCTATGAAATCTTTAATAGCTAGAATCAAGAGAGACCGGAAAAGTCACTTAAGAGAATTGATAATTCGCCGGGCGTGGTGGCTCAAGCCTGTAATCCCAGCACTTTGGGAGGCTGAGACGGGCGGATCACGAGGTTAGGAGATCGAGACCATCCTGGCTAACCTGGTGAAACCCCGTCTCTACTAAAAAATACAAAAAACTAGCCGGGCGAGGTGGCGGGCGCCTATAGTCCCAGCTACTCGGGAGGCTGAGGCAGGAGAATGGCGTGAACCCGGGAGGCGGAGCTTGCAGTGAGCTGAGATCTGGCCACTGCACTCCAGCCTGGGCGACAGAGCAAGACTCCGTCTCAAAAAAAAAAAAAAAAAAAAAGAGAGAATTGATCATTCAAGAAATAAAATATAGGGCTTTTTAAATTTTAAATGATGCGAAACCCAGGTTAGTCAGCTTGCTAAGTGTATAGCAAATAAAAGAATAAATAAATGAGAATAAATATTCTTGGATATACTGATAGTATTATTTTACCATGAAAGCAACAGATTGCTTTCAATAGATAATATTGATCCTCATTTCTAATGCCATGAGAAATACTTGCTCCAAGTGAATCTGAAAGTATGGTCTTTGAGCGCCATTTCTATAATCCAAATACTCTGTTTAAAAGAAAAGGAAGATAGAGGATGAGAGTATTTTAACTGAGCATTTATTTTGCCAGTCTGTAATATGTGTTTTGCAATTATTATTTTATTTAATCCTTACATTCTGCCAGATCAGTATTACTCCATTTGTTGATTGAAATAAAGCTCAGAGAGGTTGAGTATATAGCCAAAAGTTGCACAGCAATGGTAAGACATTTCAAATTGTTGCAAAATTAAAAAGAGGCCGGGCGTGGTGACTTATGCCTGTAATCCTAGCACTTTGGGAGGCTGAGGCAGGCAGATCACGAGGTCAGGAGATTGAGACCATCCTGTGTAACACGGTGAAACTCCATCTCTACCAAAAAAAAAAAAAAATACAAGAAAATTAGCCGGGCGTGGTGGCAGGCGCCTGTAGTCCCAGCTACTCAGGAGGCTGAGGCAGGAGAATGGCGTTAACCCGGGAGGCGGAGCTTGCAGTGAGCGGAGATCGCGCCACTGCACTCCAGCCTGCGCTACAGAGCCAGACTCCATCTCAAAATAATAACAACAACAATAATAATAATAATTATTATTATTATGCTGTGTTCAGAAGCCGCCAGGAAAGTACTTTTAATGTTATTAATGGTTTTGCAAAATCAAAACAAGTGGGTAGGGATTAGTGGTAGGGAGAAGAGGAAGCAGAGCATTTAGTGGTTTAGAGTATTTTGCTCTTGGCAAGAAGTCCACAATTCGTATAAAGATTGAGTAGCCCTGACATGGGCTATGGAGAGCTGTCAAAAGACAGGAGTCATTACACCGGAATGGCAAATGGAATTATTTTAGAAGTTGTCTCCTGGTTGAACAAGTGGAAGACAGCAACATTTTCAGAAGTCCTGCAGATACTGGTGCTGCTGACATAAATCAAAGGACAGTATATCAAGTGATAACAAATAGAAAATATATGTGGAGATATTTGGCTTTTCAAACACATGGCACAAGACCAAAACCAAGTAACTGTTACTGGAATCATCATTGAAAAATAGGGATATAAATATATAAAATAAATAAATAATGTATTAGTTTATTTCATTATTAAATTAGTGTTATTATAACTACTTCACAACCAGAACAACTAAACTTTGGATGGTGAAATGACCCTCATAAGGCAACACAAAAATTAAGAGAAGTACAGGGGAATTCCCTGACAACGATATATAAGTTTGTTTCATCCGGCATTTGCCAACTTGAGTGGCAATATATTGTTTTACTCGTAGATGTCACAAATGATCTAGTAAGATAAACTTGCATTAGCTCTCCAACTAAATAGAGTATATGGCTCAACTACTGCCTCACCTCGCAGACACATGTGTAGAACGAACACGTATAGCATTGCCTACAATCAAGAGTCTAAAATGCATTCCTAGAATTAGATTTTCTTAATGAAACAATTTGTGTAATTTTAAGGATCTCCAAAGGGTGTACCAGCCTGTACCTCATGTGCATGCATGTGTGTGTGTGTGGTGTATTCCTTTTTGGTTCTGCTAATATGATGTACCATACTGATGATTGATTTTGAAATTTTAAACCAACCTAGCATTTCTGAATAAACTTCACTTGGTCACAATGTATTGTCGTTTACATATATTGCTAGATTTGGTTTACTATGAAGGATTTTGCATCTACAGCATATTTATGAGGGATACTGGTATGTAGTTCTATTTTATTTAGATATATTTTTCTGTTAGAATCAGGGTAACACTGTTCTTATTTAAGTTGCAGCTTGTTCCCTTCTTCTTGACTTTCTCAAAGGATAATATTGGTATTACTTATTTCTTCATTGTATAAAGTTCACCAAAAAACCATCTGGGCCTGAAGTTTTCTTTGTGAGTGTTTTCACTTACAAATTTAATGCCTTTAGCTGATAAAAGGCTGCTCAAATTTTCTGTTTCTCCTTTCATCTTTGGCAATCTGTGCCTTTCAAAAAGTTTGTCCATATTGTACAGTTTGCCAAGTTATTGTCATAAAGTTGTCAAAATATTATTCTTCTAATGCCTGAAGCATCTGTAATCATGGCTGTTCTTTCATTTCTAATATTGGTAAATTGGTTATTCATGTCTTCTCATTCTTTTTTTTTTTTTTTTTTTTTTTTTTTTTGAGTTGGAGACTTGCTCTGTCATCCAGGTTGGAGTGCGGTGGTGTGATCTCAGCTCACTGCAACCTCCGCCTCCTGGCTTCAAATGATTTTCCTGCCTCAGCCCCCTGAGTAGCTGGGATTACAGGCATGAACCACCACGCCCAGCTAATTTTTGTATTTTTAGTAGAGACAGGCTTTCACCATGTTGGTGAGGCTGGTCTCAAACTCCTGACCTCAGGTAATCCACCCACCTCGGCCTCCCAGAGTGCTGGGATTACAGGCGTGAGCCACCGCGCCCAGCCTTTTTTTCTTTTTTCTTTTTTTTAAATCAATCACAGGAGCAATTCCTGTGAACGAATAGGGAGAGGTCCAGGTAGAGCTATCTGATTGCAATGTAATTCTAACCCTGAGTGAAGGAAAAAGGGAAAGAAGGTTGGGGAAGAGTTCCATGCTGTCTCATAGTCCAAGGAAAGTTTGGTTTGGCAAGGTCATCAGGGAGTCATTAATCAAAAACCAGCTTTCAGGGGAGTCCCATTAGTCCCCCAAATAGCAAGCCTTAGCATTCAGTCATGAGCTAGGTGCAGCCCATAAGAACTGTGGCTTCCCTTAGTGGGATCATGGAGATTCAACTAGCAGCAACTAAACTCCCTATAGAAAGAAGGCTGAGAGGCATTCTCATGGCTGCCACATTCTCTCCTGTGCATTCTTAACATCCTGCATTCTCAGTGCCTTCCTGACTACTCCAGCTCACAAAGATGGCCAGGCGGTACTTACTGATTGAATGAATCCTCTGCATTCCTTAGCAGTTAATAATTTCTGGCTTACATTTGTCATTTGCCATATACAGAATTACTTTGTATTCTAGTTCTATTTTTACATTTATATATCCAGTTTATATTGAAAGCCTTGCTTTGTCAAGATTATTTTTAAGTACCTCAAAAACTTTATTAATTTGTTGATTAGCAATCTTCCTAGGTATGCACAGAAGGAAAAAAAAATAAGATTATGACAAGTTCCAGAAATAATTTACTTAAAAATAAACAGCTTAAAGTTGTTAAGGGCATGATATGGAAAATGTCACTTATCTACTTATTCACCAACAAATACTTATCAAGGATTTATTGAGTGCCAGGCATGTGCTATGTGAGGGTATCACTGTAAGGAATAAGGCATATAAGGAGTCATCATTTTGCTTAGAGGTTTTTGAGACAGACATACAATAAACACAGAAGTACATAGACAAATACTTAGAAGCACTAGGGTTGAAAAGGTACCAAATTGATAGCCGCCTGAAATTTTATTTATTCTACGTAATTGGTTAGTATTACGAAACTGAAGCATGTTTATATAAAAGATAAGCTTAAGATAAATTATCACAAAATTCAAAGTTCAGAAATCAGTAAATAATGGTCACATTTCCCCTCCAGATAGAGAAACCAGGCTGTCTTCAAATATTTCCAGAATTGCATCTGTCACAGAGCCATTGTGCCCTACATGAGATAGAGATATCTATAAAGCTTTAATAAAATCAGATTGATTTATTAATTTATTTACTCAGTCTGTTTTTCATGCTTCATTACTTAGTTCTGGGAAACACAAAGGTGAAGAGGACATATTCCATATTCATAATTGTTTAACCACATGAGTGAATGTCTATAGGTGACAATTTGCTTCTAGTGTCCAGTGTTTATTTGCAGTCTATTTCTTTTTTCCCACTATGTCAATACTTTAATAGCTGTATATGGAATGCTTGCAACAAGCCTGGTGATGGGGAATTATAAATGAATAAAATACACTTTTCTCAGCCTCAAAAAATGCCTGAAATTAGATAATAATTCTAATAGAAAATGTTTATGAATTTCCTATGGATATCTTATACAACTTTACATTGTAGTCTGAAGGAAATCAACCTTTAACTTTATAATGGAAAAATATCTCCAAGTTAGTTATACACAATTTACGTTGGAAAACTGACATAGTAGATATGAAATAGTTTTTGTTTTTCTTCTAGGAAAGCCTTAATAGACATAGATACTTGAATTCTTTATCTCCCGGTGAAAACTCCACCGCCTTCTATGGAATAAATCAGTTTTCCTATTTGTTTCCTGAAGAGTTTAAAGGTATGGTGCGATGGTACTATTTGAGTGATTCCCTGATTTTAATTTGCTTGCTTAACTTTTGATAAATATTTAATTGTAAATCTAATAAATTGAGTAATAGTTAACATTTATTAACTATTTACCTACTAAGTGTCAGGCATGTACCATGTGCTCACATAAGAAAATAAATTCATGGCCACTGTCTTCTAATGACTGCTTAAGAAATGAATATTATAATTATGCACATTTCCATGTGGCTCTTAAGGGTAATTGTCTAATCACTTCTGCAGTTTTCTAGTGCTATTTCTGTTCAGGGCACACATGGTTCCATGGGTTATGATAGAAAAAAATTATGTCAATTATACTTATTTTTATTATTGACCTGGCTTTATCAAACAAGTCATTTTATGTGTCAACTCCAGCCTTATTGTAGGAATTCTCTTTTGTAGTTTTTAATGAATGCATTTTATATTATAGAAAAGCACAAAGGAAAAATCTAAAATAGCAGGTCTACTAGAAGGCTACTGTTTCTTCTTTAAAAGTTCCTCCCAAAGAATCCCAAGGATATAATAGAGTATAATATCGGTTGTCTTTTAATATAATATTGGTTGTCTCTCTGTAATGTAATGTAATATTGGTTGTCTTTATATATAACAAATATATATTACATATAATATGATGCATTGTAATATAATATTGGTTGTCTTTTCATTTTATGTTTCTGCTCAGCCATTTATTTAAGAAGCAAACCTTCCAAGTTTCCCAGATACTCAGCAGAAGTACATAGGTCCATCCCCAATGTGTCTTGGCCATTAAGATTTGACTGGCGGGACAAGCATGTTGTGACACAAGTGAGAAACCAGCAGACGGTAAGTTTAAATCCCTCTTCTTTTCTAATCATCTAAGCATTGAAAGGCAGCTTTGATGTCAAATTTAATCAAACTTGTAATGGAACCCATCATTTCTCCAGGAAAATCACATCTAAGTCATCCAAAATGACAATGAAAGGAGAATCTCTAGAGGAATGAGAGGCAAATGTTAAAGCCCTGACTTTTATTCCTGAAGCTGTGTCCTCTTACTAATTGTTATTGCCACCAACACAGTAACTCAGGGATACTTCCCAGTAGCTGTATCACAGATACCAAGCTTTCTTTACAATAGCAGATGGAAGACTGGAGAAGGTAAACATGAGCATTAAAGGCTTAAATGGTTCAAGAAAAAAAAAGTGAAAAAGTAAAATGAAAATGGATAAATTTACCAACAGTGTGACTGAATCTCCTGGGTTCTCAAGCCTCATCTTGCAAGCTCTATCAGAAAACCTGCCCCCATCTTCACAGGATCATATGCCTTTGAATCCGTGGGTCTTTATAAAAGTATAGTCAGTAGTCAGTTCAGCCATAACGTGACACATATATTCCAGAAAATCACCACCTATGCGGAATTGAGCAGTAACATGACAGGGATTATGGGAGAAATGAGGTTAGGTCACGCTACCTAGGAACTTAATCAATGACCTATTTTTTAAAAGACAGAAAGCTAATAGACACGTAGCACAGTTTAAACATGCTTACTGATTAAGAAATACATAAATACTGTAATGAATATAGCAATTGACCTTGAAAAAAGACTCAAAGTTTGCTGAGGACATGGGAGTTGGAAGGGCTGCAGCTTGTGAGTTATTCTGAAGTGGTGGAAGGAGGTGCCTTTGAAATAGGAAGGAAAGTGGTAAGAGCAGTTGTGGGTGGGAATGACCTATAATGCGTAGTGAACCCACCTAGCCGGCAGATGTTTGAGGGGTGCGTGCATGCTTTGCTGACATCCCCTACCTGTCTGCACCCCTCACTGTTGGCATAGGGAATACCTGCCAACTAGGGAAAGTCAAACCCGTAACGAGAGGTGGATAGTCTCAATTTGTCTGCAGTGGAAACCTCAACAGATCATTCAGCCTTCCCTCGTATGGAAAGTGTTTCTGTCCCAGCAGTTTCTCAGTCAATGTCTAGTTAGAATGATTTTTGCTTCTCAGATTCTATCTTCATTTTTGTACATTAAGTTTTACCACCGAATCATTTGCTTTATTACTGGATTTGTAATAACATGTGAATTAGACATAAATAGAATCCTTTCAAAAATGGTCCACAGTGTATTAAAGAGGGAACTTTTAATTAGGGATCTTTAATTAAAGGAATATTCGAGAGACTCTTTTTTTTTTTTTAAGCAGAAACTGCCCTTGTGGCTTGACTAAAACTGGCTATAGGGGTGGTGTCAGCAGCTTGTATTCACCTTTTTTCTTTTTCTTTTTTTGTTTTTTTTGAGATAGAGTCTCGCTCTGTCACCCAGACTGGAGCGCAGTGGTGTGATCTCGGCTCACTGCAACCTCCACCTCCCAGGTTCAAGCGATTGTCCTGCCTCAGCCTCCTGAGTAGCTGGGATTACAGGTGCGCCCCACCATGCCCAGCTAATTTTTGTATTTTTAGTAGAAACGGGGTTTCACCATGTTGGTCAGGCTCGTCTTGAACTCCTGACCTCCTGATCTGCCTCCCAAAGTGCTGGGATTACAGGCGTGAGCCACCCTGTGTTCACCTTTGTTGAAGTTTGGAGACCCTGCTGTATAGTGAGTGTTTTTACTATGCCATCGGCACGAAAGATATAACCTTTAAAAGAGCACTTAAAGCCATAACGTTGCTCAAAATGTAACTCTGCAAAGATATCCAATTGTCATTCCTTTTTTTTTTTGATCTAACTCTGCCACACATGGCCCTCTGGTTATGTCAGGTTCATCCAATCTCAAATCTACTCTCCTCTGCCTTCTCTGTGGATCCTTCTTCCTTTTACGGGATCCTATGATCCCTGATTTCATTCCCTCTGTCTCCTCTCTTTCTTTCAGGACTAGTTCTTTTATTCTTTTGTTCTAGTTTGTTAAGTGAAAGCAAGTTAATAGATCCACTATCAGCATGATCGGCAGCCAATACTGGAGTAATGACTAATATGGGTTTATATCCTTAGGACATTTCATGTGCATCCACTATAAGCATACTTAATAGGGTATCTTTATAGCCTAAAAAGTAATTCATTAATATTTATTAATTCTCTTATCTCCATCAGCTATAATGAGCACAACATACATCTTTCCCCTCCTCACCCTTAGGATGGAAGTGGTATATGACCATGGAAGCAGAGTGTCCTGAAAAAAGCAAGGGGGATGGAAGGATGGAGTGGGAGTCAGCACACGCTCTCCAGCAGAAAAGCCACCTACAAAGAGAAGTCACATATTCAGTGAACTGAATAGTCTTTTAGAAGATCATCAGTTAGCCCAAGTATTTCCTCAGTCTCTAAAAATTCACCCTTACCTTGCATTGCCAAATTTAGAATAGTAATAATGCTGACAACATGAACTAATAATTAAATGATGCTCAGAAGAGACTTTTGGTTTTCTCTTTTTTTCAATTTAAAAATCTAGAGGATAGGCATATATATTGTGTAGGTTTCCAGAATCTGGAAACCTTACTTGATTCGGTAACTTGTTATATTTAGAGATGTTGGTAAGTTGATTTAAACCCTATAAATACTACCCCTTTTTCTATTTTTAAACAGTGTGGAGGATGCTGGGCCTTCAGCGTGGTGGGGGCAGTGGAATCTGCATATGCAATAAAAGGGAAGCCCCTGGAAGACCTAAGTGTCCAGCAGGTCATTGACTGTTCGTATACTAATTATGGCTGCAATGGAGGCTCTACTCTCAATGCTTTGAACTGGTTAAACAAGGTGACTAGTCTCTCAGCCTTTTAAACTCTTTATTTCCTTTTTTGCTTGTTTACTGTGTGTTCAAAATTCAGACAGTTTGTTCGCATATATTAAATAATGTTTCCATGCTCAGAAATGTAGATGATCGAAGTTTGAAGTAATTAATCAGAATATTTAAAAAGAATCATTTCTAGGCAAAGCAATTGTCAAGAAATCAAAAGGGGAAAATTCTGAAGTCTGTCTTCAGAGAAATATTTATATTTATTTCTTGACATTTCTTAGTATATACATGCTTTTTTGCAGATCTGAATATCTCATAATTCCCCAGAAAGTTGAGAATATATGATTTTTTTTATTTTCATGGAATTTCTGAATGTTAAGGTTAAAAGGGAATTAGAGACGAACTAATCTTTTACCTCTTTTTTTTTTTTTTTTTTTTTTTTGAGACAGCATCTCATTCTGTCACCCAGGCTGGAGTACACTGGTGCAATCTTGGCTCATTGCAATCTCTGCTTCCCGGGTTCAAGCAATTCTGCTGCCTCAGCCTCCTGAGTAGCTAGGACTACAGGTGCCCATTACCACACTCAGCTAATTTTTTGGTGTTTTTTTTTTGTTTTGTTTTGTTTTGTTTTTTTAGTAGAGATGTGGTTTCATCATATTGGCCAGGCTGATCTCAAACTCCTGACCTTGTGATCCACCTGCCTCAGCCTCCCAAAGTACTGGGATTACAGGTATGAGCCACCGTGCCCAGCCTGTATCTCTTTTTATAGATGAAGAAATGAAGCCTGAGAGGTGAGATCATGTTGCCAAGTCAGTAGCTGAGATGGAGTTGTACCTTTATTCCCCGGCCTCTCACAGTAGGGTTTGCTCAGTATACCCCAGTGTCCCTCAGTGTTCTTAGGACTTGCCCTGACAGTGTCCCAGATCCGATATCAACTGCATGAAATTTGCCAATAAGGGTGCTGTTGGGTTCTGTAAAACGTCATCAAGCCAGAGTTTCCCAAACCTGAATTCTCTTCCATTATCCATTGGTTGCATTTTTAATCACGTATTCCAGGAGCTGGTCTGTACACACTGTAGACAGCAATGAATTATGAGTCTCCTCCCTTTCATTAGCCTAGCATTCAAAAAGGGAGGATTTTGTGCAGATAACTATGAAGTATTTGACACATGCTATATGAATGGCATAAAAGTGAAGTGACAGAAAGAATGCTTGGCTTACCCATTGCCTGTGTATAAACCACCGAATGGAGTCTGAAGGACTTGGCAGAACCAGAAGCACTGGGAGGAAAGTGAGCTGTCCTATAGCACCGTCAGGAGAAAGATGACAAGATTGTTATTAGATCCATGGAGGATCTACAAAAGGATGCTGTAAGATACAGAGAAGTAAGGGAGAAGGAAAGATATTGACTCCAAACGTCTAGGCTATCCAGAACAAGGTGCTTATTCTGGATAGATTTAATTTATAATGTTAAAAGCCCAAAGTATAGGCTGGGCAAAATGCCTCACGCCTATAATCCCAGTATTTCGGGAGGCCAAGGCAGGTGGATTTGTTGAGTCCAGGAGTTTAAGACCAGCCTGGGCAACAGAGTGAGACCCCGTCTTTACAAAAAATACAAAAAATTAGCCTGGTGTGGTGGCTCATACCTGTAGTCATAGCTACTGGGGAGACGGAGCCCAGGAGGTGGAGGTTGCAGTGAGACAAGATCGAGCCACTGCACTCCAGCCTGAACAACAGAACAAGACTCTGTCTCAAGAAAGAAAAGCGAAAGAATGCAAAGTATATGCACATGATGGAGGTGTGTGAAACTGAATCTGTTTTGACACAGTGAAGTAAGTTCTATTTGATTTACAAAACAATTGACAGTAAACATTTTCAGTGATTGTTTTCTTTTAGATGCAAGTAAAACTGGTGAAAGATTCAGAATATCCTTTTAAAGCACAAAATGGTCTGTGCCATTACTTTTCTGGTTCACATTCTGGATTTTCAATCAAAGGTTATTCTGCATATGACTTCAGGTAAATGTCTTATTGTATTATGTTTTTCTTTACATATTTTAAATTTATGATCTGTTGACTAGTTAATAATTTGATTGAAGGCATCAGTGCATACTCTTAATCGTTGTAAAACCTACTTTTTACTAGAAAGAGTAGCAATTACAATGAAATGTTGTAAATGTTGTTTCTTAATTATAATCTACTTAATTTTCCAAGTGTCATTGCAATAGAAATGAAAAATTTAAATTCTGTTTAAGGAATAATTTATATGTATATTTATTTGTTATGTTTTATATTTTATTATACTTATAAATTATTGGTGCATAATTTATATTTATATTTATCACCTTCATCTTATCAAATTTAGGTGTTATAATACCATTAGCATATTTCAGTCTTAATGGTGAGTCCATCCAGAATTGCTTTGTGCGGCTAATATCATACAGGCTACGTATCAGGAAGCATATTTTAAATACCATTTATGTTCTTTGCATTTTTCAAGACATCAGCCATTTGAAAAATATAACACAAAAATTCAGATTAGAAACAAGAGGGAAGCGTATATTACTGAAGATAAATTATGTAGCATACACTATAAGCATGATGGGAATGTAGGGATAGATAAAGACAGGCTGAGGGAAAGGACTTGTGTTGAGATTGAAGGGCAAGATAACTTTGGATAGTTTGGGGGGAAACAATCATTAAAAATGCTTTAAAAGCACATGAAAAACACAGAGCTGGCTGGAGACTCATCATGACCATTTGATAGAGTTCATGGGTGAAAAGTACAAAGGGAGACCCAACCAACTCCCGGCTTCATTAAGAAAATATATGATGGGAACTTTGCAGTCTTTTGAAACAGAGAAAACAGAGGAACTAAATTAAATTTGGATAAGGTAACAGAATGCCCTATGACTTAGTGGTCATATATAAAATATAAAAGAATCCCTTGATCCAGATGGTATCTACCCAGGGGATCTGAAAGAAATCAAGGGTGAAATTGCATCCTTGAACAAAATGTACCCGTTTAAATGAGCATAAGTGTGCCAGAGAACTGGCAGGTTGTCAACACAACTCTGGTCTGCAACAAGGGTCCTCAGGGTGACCCTAGGAACCATGTACCAGGCAGCCTTAATTCCACAGCTGGCAGGCTACGTAGGACTTATAATGAAATGTTCAGGGTCACTGAGTACCTTGGTCAACATCTCCTTTGGGGGTAAAGGTAATGTGCTTTCTAAAATGAGAAAGTATGCCCTATAAACTGTGACTTCCTTGAGAGTATAAGGGAAGGATGTGTACAAGAAAAAACTAGATTTACAAAATATCATTAAAAGGGATTAAGGGAATCCCTTGTCATGGTAGGAAATTGAAGAATAATAGGCATTAGTCTGAATTAAGGGAAAGAGAGAATGCAGGAGTTATTGGCATTGGGCCTTTGATTAAGAAGGAAGAGGTCCCAGTCAAAATCTCTTGTTTATATTGAAGATTAAACTCTAACAATACAATGCTAAGCTGATAGCATTTGACTGCAGGAAGATCTTTCTTTGATTTATGTATTCATTCAGATATTTACTGACTTTTTTTTAAGTTCAGGGAATTTGGCAAAGAACAAAACAGACAAAAGCCTTGTCCTCATTAGTAATTGAGACAGACAATCAACGAAAAATAAAAATGCATATGGCATGTTAACTGTAATAATTTCCAAAGAGAACAAAAGAAAACAGTGGGAGGAAGAGGAAATATCTGGTGGTAGGGGGAGTGTACAATTTGAGAAAGGGTTGCCTAGCAGGGTCTCACTCACTGAAAAGGTTATGTTCAAGTGAATACGTGGAGAAGTGTGTGGACTTAACCACACAGATATCTGGGGGAAAATTGTTCCAAGCAGAGAGGCTGTAAATGCAAAGATCATGAAGCAGAAACATGTCTCGCGTGTTAGAACAATGATGAAGCCACTGTGGCTGCAGTGTGGAGAAAAAAGACAAGACTAGTAGGAGATGAGGTTATACTGTCCCTGTATTAGTCTGTTTTCATACTGCTGATAAAGACATACCCAAGACTGGGAAGAAAAAGAGGTTTAATTGGACTTACAGTTCCACATGGCTGAGGAGCCCTCAGAATCATGGCGGGAGGCAAAAGGCACTTCTTACGTGGTAGCAGCAAGAGGAAATGAGGAAGAAGCAAAAGCAGAATCCCCTGATAAACCCATAAGATCTTGTGAGACTTATTCACTGTCACGAGAATAGCATGGGAAAGACCAGCCCCCATGAATTCAATTACCTCCCTCTGGGTCCCTCCACAACATATGGGAATTCTGGGAGATACAATTCAAGTTGAGACTTGGGTGGGGGCACAGTCAAACCATATCATTCCATCCCTGGCCCCTCCAAATCTCATGTCCTCACACTTCAAAACCAATCATGCCTTCCCAACAGTCCCCCAAAGTCTTAACTCATTTCAGCATTAACCCAAAAGTCCACAGTCCAAAGTGTCATCTGAGAAAAGAGAAGTCCCTTCTGCCTATGAGCCTGTAAAATCAAAAGCAAGCTAATTACTTCCTAGATACAATAGGGATACAGGTACTGGGTAAATACAGCCATTCCAAGTGGGAGAAATTGGCCAAAACAATGGGGTTACAGGGCCCATGCAATGCCAAAATCCAGCAGGCAGTCAAATTTTGAAGTTCCAAAATGATCTCCTTTGATTCCAGATCTCACATCCAGGTCATGCTGATGCAAGATGTGGGTTCCCATGGTCTTGGGCAGCTCTGCCTCTGTGCGTTGCAGGGTACAGCCTCCCTCCTGGCTGCTTTCATGGTCTGGCATTGAGTGGCTGCGGCTTTTCCAGGTGCATGGTGCAAGCTGTCAGTGGATCTACCATTCTGGGGACTGGAGGACAGTGGCCCTCTTCTCACAACTCCCGTGGGACTCTTTCGGGGTCAGACACCGCACGTTTTTCTTCTGCACTGCCCAAGCAGAGGTTTTCATGAAGGCCCTGCTCCTGCAGCAAACTTTTGCCTGTGCATCCAGGCATTTCCGTACATCTTCTGAAATCTAGGTGGAGGTTCCCAAATCTCAGTTCTTGGCTTCTGTGCACCCACAGACTCAACCCCAAATGGAAGCTGCCAAGGCCACATCCTGAGCTCTATGTTGGCCCCTTTGAGCCATGGCTGGAGCATCTGGGACACAGGGCACTAAGTCCCTAGGCTGCACACAGCTTGAGGACCCTGGGCCTAGCCCACGAAACCACATTTTCCTTCTGGGCCTCCAGGCCTGTGATGGGAGGGGCTGCCATGAAGGTGTCTGACATAACCTGAAGACATTTTCCCCATGATCTTGGGGATCAACATTAGGCTCCTTGCTACTTATGCAAATTTCTGCAGCTGGCTTGAATTTCTCCTCAAAAAATGGGTTTTTCTTTTCTACTGCATCATCAGGTTGCAAATTTTCTGAACTTTTATGCTCTTTTTATGTTTCCCTTTTAAAATGGAATGCTTTTAACAGCACCCAAGTCACCTTTTGAATGCTTTGCTGCTTAGAAATTTCTTCCACCAGATACCCTAAATCATCTCTCCCAAGTTCAAAGTTCCACAAATCTCTATGGCAGTGGCAAAATGCTGCCAGTCTATTTCCTAAAGCATAACAAGAGTCACCTTTGCTCCATTTCCCACAAGTTTCTTATCTCCATCTGAAACCACCTCAGCTTGGACCTAATTATTGTCCATATCACTATTGGCATTTTGGGCAAAGCCATTCAACAAGTCTCTAGGAAGTTCCAAACTTTCCCACATTTTCCTTCTTCTTCTGAGCCCTTGAAATTGTTCCAGCCCTCTGCCTATTACCCAGTTCGAAAGTCCCTTCCACATTTTCGGGTATCTTTCCAGCAATGCCCCACTCTACTAAGACCAAGTTACTGTATTAGTCCATTTTCATGCTGCTGATAAAGACATACCCAAGACTGGGAAGAAAAAAGAGATTTAATTGGACTTACAGTTCCACATGACTGGGGAGACCATAGAATCATGGTGGGAGGTGAAAGGCACTTCTTACACTTCTTACATGGCAGTGGCAAGAGAAATTGAGGAAGAAGCAAAGGCAGACACTCCTGATGAAACCATCAGATCTCATGAGACTTATTCACTATCACGAGAATAGCACTGGAAAGACTGGCCCCCATGATTGAATTACCTCACCCTGGCTTCCTCCCACAGCACGTAGGAATTCTGGGAGATACAGTTCAATTTGAGACTTGGGTGGAGACACAGCCAAACCATATCAGTCCCCAGGCAGTAGCAGCCTTAGAACAGGGTATCAGAAGAATGGCCTTGGAGATGAGAGATGAGGGGTATGTATAGATTCATACCCCAAACAGAGGGTAAAGCCCTACACAGTTTTTTATTGGAGAGGAGATAAGAGAGAAGGGAGTCTAGGAGGATTCCCGGCCTTTTGATCTGAATGACTGAAAAATAGAATTACCATTAATGAAACTTGAAAGTCTAAGACAGGAACAGATTTAGAAGGAAACAGCAAGAGTTCAGTTGGAACACCTAGGAAGTGATCCCAGGAAAGATTGGTAGTGGGGTGGGAAAATGAGAGAACCAGGGCAGCAGGGTTTCCTGATTAAGCCAGTTAGTGCTGTGGCTAACCTCGTGCTTAGTCCTGCTGGGGAACTCTGGCGGCCAGGGTAAAATGTACACTTCAGTGCCATCCCACCCAAATTGATGATTGTTGTCTTCCCTGGTTCATTAGTTGAGGGTGCAGCTGGGGATAGAGATGGGGACTGGGCTTGCTTTCTGGGCTCTAGGAGGAAAACAGCTCAGGGAAAGGGCTGCAGGATCTCATTGTTGCAAGTTGGGTGAGTGTGCATTGCATTGGTGACACCCTGAGGATGTGGGAAGGTCTTCCAAAGCATTTGCCCTAACTGGGCACAAGACCTGGTCCTTTGTACTTCAGTATATTGTTTCCATATAAGATGGATGCCTGAGACTCAGGGAGGGCCATACAGCTCATAAACTGTGGAGTCTGATTAGAACTAGTCGTATCTGTTCAACTCTAAAGCTTGTGTTTTTACTCCCAACACTATTGGTAAGGTCATGAGGTCTTAGGTTTTCAGCCAAACACTCTTTAAAACATTGTGCAGAACCCGAACACATCTAAGAAGGGAAAAAAATCCTCTAAAACATAAAAATATAATCTAATTTTAAAGCAAAATGATCCCCAGGGTTCTTCATGAATTTTTATCAGACCCCAGAAATTTCAGAACTCAAACTAGAATATTAGAATGACTATGTAAATAAACAAAAACTGTAGGAACCTACTACATATAACAATAGTCAGAAAAATTCAGGCACAGTGTAACGCACTGAATTCTAGGGAAGATGAGATGGAAATCTACATCATGAAGTGTCGGTAAGAGGTCAGACTTGCCTTCATTGCCGCATCTTGATGACAATAAAATTTAGGAAAATTCTTTGAAGACTGTAGGTTTTGGAAATTATTAATCTGTGAAATGAATAGTAAACTCATGGAATCAATGTTTGATAATATGGCCATTATCAACAATATACATGTTGATAGTAGTTCTATATTGGGTTAATAATGAAAATTAAAATGCTGTCTGGAGCATATTTGAACTCTCTAAAACCTGACATCTTTCTGAAAGACAAATGATAGCAATGCCACTCAATTCTGGGGCCAAATGGAACATTTGCCTCTGCTTATGACTGAGGCTTGTCATTCTATTTCTTACTTCTAATCTTTGATATCTTTTCTTCAGCTCTAACCCAAATCAGGGATTATTACTAAATTGTTTCTTTGATTCTGCAATGTCAGTTACCCTTTGCATTCTAAAAATATTCCTTCTTCTTGATCTTTCTGCTTTTCTCCTGATGTCCCTGAAACTGGATCTTTGATGAGATGAACTTCCAGTAATCCTTTGTTATCTCAAATTGGTGGAGACAGCTGTGTTCTGGTTGATAGAGAGATTATTTTATATATATATCATGTTTAAATCAGGAAATACTCAAAGAATTTTGATACAATAAGATGTACTTTATACACTAAATCCTATGGGGAACAAAATTAGTTATTAGATAAGTTAGAAATGAGGGAAATAAATAATCCTTATTGTAAACTTCGAGTATAACTTATATGCTGGGCATGCTACATAATTCATGTCTTGCAAAATTATATCCCATAATTTTATCCTTATATTGATTCTGCACGGTAGGTTAAAGGGCTGCAGTGTATAGTTGGAATCTGAACCCAGGTGTGGGATAATTAAAAACCTGTAACCTATCATGACCCTTTTAAAAACTTTACAATTTTGCCTGTCTCAGGATCATCTTAGTTAATATAAACTGTGTTACAGTAGCAAAAATTAGAAATGTCTGCTTATGTTAAAAAGCAGATATTCGTGCTAATAGATAACATGAATAAATGCATAAAATGAGTATTTAGTTTCTATTTCAATAAATTCCATTATTATGCAGTCAACTTTTTGGTCATCTGTGGACAAAATATTCCCTCTCTAGAAACTGGTCTCCAGCTGGTCATCATGAAAGATTATTTACTCTTTCAAGCCACTAATCCACCCCTGGCTTGCTGTAGCAGTAAACTACAAAATGCTATCTTACTGGCTTGAACTACTAGGAACTTGTTTCAGTATCCTTCACCCAGAAAGCTGTCCTTTGAAAAATGTCAATAATGATTTGATCACTCACTTGTAAGATCGATGAAGGACAAATGTTGTATAATATGAGACTTTATGTCCATGTGTGAAAGCAATAATTGTGTATTTTGCAGTCTTCACAGTCTAACACCTAGTTCATCTGGCATCCTAACATTTCTTGTCTTTTTAAAATATTTGTTTAACATTTCTACTATTGTATAATTATATTAGCCACTTTTGGGTAGCCCTTCCCTATAATTTCTATATTTGAAAATGACTAACATAAGTTAGTCTCTTGATTCTCACGGTATGGCAGAGATGGCAAGTTATCTCCAAATATCCAGTCTTTCCACTTTCCTTAATAAAAGAAGCCCTATATCTTCACTGACTTTCCAGCCAGCTACAGAACTCATTCCCCATCTTCCTTTAAGCTAGACTTAGTCATATGACTGAGTTCTGGCCAATGAAATCCGTGAAGATATATGTGGAAGTGTTGCGTGTTATTTCTGGGAAGTCTTTTCAACAGAGATGTACCACTTCTCCTTTCTACTGTCTTAAATATGGGTTAAATGGCTGGAGTCCCAGCAGCCATCTTGGACCGTGAATGGACCCTGAAAATGGAGACCTTTGAATAGCAACACAATGATAGAGAAAGAGCTTGGGTTCTTGATATCCTGTAACCCTATCCCAACCATAGACTACCAATCTCTCTGACTTGGCTTCCATTGTTTAGGTCCTTTGTAACTGCAACCAAACCTACTCAGAATTATACACAGATTGTATAGATCATTGTTATTTTTACCTTAAAATCTAAATTTTCTAACCAAATATTTCCTCTTTTGGTAGTAACCAAGAAGATGAAATGGCAAAAGCACTTCTTACCTTTGGCCCTTTGGTAGTCATAGTAGATGCAGTGAGCTGGCAAGATTATCTGGGAGGCATTATACAGCATCACTGCTCTAGTGGAGAAGCAAATCATGCAGTTCTCATAACTGGGTTTGATAAAACAGGTAAGTGCTGATAAGACTCAGTTGATTGCTTTCCAGCTTGGATGCTGACCGCAACATGATCACCATCCTGTAGAACGTTGAAATTTGGTTCTGCTGTGGCTAAGTCGTCATAAGACCTTCACAACTTCTCAACAATCTTATAGGTGTAAATGTGCTGAGCCCAGCTTGGTCGTGGAGACCCTAACCCAGTGGCACTAGAGGAATTAAAGACACACACACAAAATACAGAGTGTGGAGTGGGAAATCAGGGGTCTCAGAGCCTTCAGAGCTGAGAGCCCTGAACAGAGCTTTACCCACATATTTATTGACTGCAAGCCAATGATAAGCATTGTTTCTGTAGATTATAGGTTAACTAAAAGTATTCCTTATGGGAAATAAAGGCATGGGCTGAAATAAAGGGATGGGTCTGGCTAGTTATCTGCAGCAGGAGCATGTCCTCAAGGAACAGATTGCTCATGCTATTATTGTGGTTTAAGAATGCCTTTAAGCAGTTTCCTGCCCTGGGTTCGGCCAGGTTTTCCTTGCCCTCATTCCGGTAAACCCACAACCTTCCAGCGTGGGTGTCATGGCCATCACAAACATGTCACAGTGCTGCAGAGATTTTGTTTATGGCCAGTTTAGGGGCCAGTTTATGGCCAGATTTGGGGGACCTGTTCCCAATATAAATGTCTTGTCAGATTCTACCTGTCAATTTTTGGGTGGATATCTTGTTAAAATGATGATAATTTTTATCAATACAAAACTATCTGGAATATTTAGAATAATTGTTGGGAAAAGGTAAGTGCATATTATTTTATCATATGTATGTATCAGTTCTTTGTTTCTTTTTCTCATTCATTGGAAATTGGTGTTTGTTTTCATTTTATGCAGTCCCTGTATAAAGGGAAGTGAATTCAAGCATATATTTCTACTGATTGGAGTGTGTCCCAAAGTACTGCTCAGGTTTACTTAGTTAAAATAAAGTAGTTTAAGTTACATTACATTACATTTTTAATCTTCTTCTCAGAGCTACTATCCTTATCAAGAATCCAACTTAAAATAAAGAAACTTAAACATTCATAACAAAGTTGAGTTTTCAGGATTTGTTACCATTTATGTTTCATTGTAGGAAGCACTCCATATTGGATTGTGCGGAATTCTTGGGGAAGTTCATGGGGAGTAGATGGTTACGCCCATGTCAAAATGGGAAGTAATGTTTGTGGTAAGTCATAAATTTGTGTTTAGAACCTCAAGATAAATATTAAGGAGATTATTTGAATATTTTAGAGTTACAATATATACTCAAATCACTTTAGCAGTAATAGTTTTTGTCCTTTAACCAAATGATGAACAAAAAAAGTGTTTTACAAGAGGAACTGTTAAACATATTAGTATTTGAAAAAGGAAGAGGGACCTTAGTAAAAAATATATGTTACATGTATATCTTAAAACATAAGATAAAGTAATAATTTACCAAGGTTAATTACTTTAAAAACGAGATAAACACAAAGCTTAGGAGAGTGGACTCCTGCAGAAATGTCTTCTTGTTCCAAATTTACATTTCATAACTATAAAGTTTTCTTAATTTGTGTATTGTAATATCTGCTCAATGACTATCAAAAGTTTTTCTATGTTTTCAAATATATTGAAACTGAGCATTAGTATTGTTTGTGACTTAATATGCCCCTTGCCATCTACAGAATTCTAGCAAAACACCCACTAGAATTGAGAGGTTTAGGCAAATACCAAACATGCTTTTTTATTGAATGACAACTTTTTTTTTTTTTTTTGAGATGGAGTCTCACTCTGTCTCCCAGGCTGGAATGCAGTGGTGTGATCTCGGCTCACTGCCACCTCCGCCTCCCGGGTTCACACCATTCTCCTGCCTCAGCCTCCTGATTACCTGGGACTACAGAGGCCCACCACCACGCCCAGCTAATTTTTTGTTTTTGTATTTTCAGTAGAGACAGGGTTTCACCATGTTAGCCAGGATGGTCTCGATCTCCTGACCTCGTGATCCACCCTCCTCGGCCTCCCAAAGTGCTGGGATTACAGGCGTGAGCCACCATGCCCGGCCTGAATGACAACTTTTTAAATGGACCACCAACCAAACTAAAATAGCTGGTTAAGAATTTTAACTATGTTATAAAACTATATTCAAACCTATGTTCTAAAACTTTTGGTTTAGAAATCAGCGTATTTTCTGAATCAAGCTAGACCCAAACTGAGTTACATATTAGAGCAATCATGTCGTTTCTCATTATAATTTGTTCCAACATATATACAATTTTTTAAAAATGCAGAATTTTTCAGATTATGAGACTGATTAGTTACAGAAAAATTTGAAAGTTTATGTTTAATGATTATTATCCAATCATTCCATAAGGCAGAATCCATGAGAGTTCATGAGTGATCTATTTTGTCACCCTGATGTGACAGTTTTAATAAGTTATTCATTGAAAAAAGTCAACATCACAGAAATATATTGGCCAGAGCACTAGCAACCCCATCAGGCCTCCACTTTTCAGCATTACTGGGAGCTTGTACATCTTTGGAACTTGCAGATAAATTACTGATGTTGGCCGGGCGCAGTGACTCACGCCTGTAATCCCAGCACTTTGGGAGGCCGGGGCGGGCAGATCACAAGGTCAGGAGTTCAAGACCAGCCTGACCAACATGATGAAATCCCGTCTCTACTAAAAATACAAAAATTAGCCAGGCATGGTGGTGCGCACCTGTAATCCTAGCTACTTGGGAGGCTGAGGCAGGAGAATCGCTTGAATCTGGGAGACGGAGGTTGCAGTGAGCCAAGATCAGGCCTCTGCACTCCAGCCTGGGCAACAGAACAAGACCCTGTCTCAAAAAAAAAAAAAAAAATTACTGATGCTAATCATTGAACTCTTGCTGCTAAACACATATTATGTCTGACTGCAGCAGTGGTGGATCTTGGATTTGGGCTGAGGGGTGACTGCTTTCAAACCTCTGACAGGAGTGTTAAAATAACATAATTCAAATATTGGTTATAATTGCCTCAGTTATAACTACATCCCTCACCACAGCCTTTCTCCATCCCTCAGCTACTAAGGGTGAGTGGAGATCATTTCTGCTCTCCACCTGCTTTCATAATATGAATCTTTAAGGGCATGCCTGGTTAGTGATCATACAAGGATTGAAATTCTTCCTGAAAGTGAATATGCCCTGAAAGTTACAATGATGTCATATTACTCTTATGAACAATGGTATAAGGCAGATAGTATTTCATAGCTGCAAGAGATTTCGAAGATATGGTAAGTTACAATAAAAACCAGTCTTCGGATAGGCTAGTTATTGCTTTTGCCATGATGTTGCAGTCTGTGTTCTTGTGTGTAAAGAAAGCATAGCACACTTGTGATTTATTAAAGTTTTACCCACATTCAAATTTTAGAATTTGAGTTATGAAATTGCATTTAAAATAATTTCTTAAGTTATTTTGCCTCTAAGAAATAATGTATTAGTTCAATACAGATTCCAGATGCATACATTTATTCAGTTAACAAGTAGTTTTTGTTGTCGATTTTTAAAATCTTTAAAATTATTTTAGTTTCTTAAAACGAAAATATTAGGCATACTTCTAATATGCCTAATCTCTTCTAATATCTGCCTTTGATGATACCATGTTTACATGGACAAGCTGTGATAAGTATTACATTATTTTCTTAGTAGGTACTAACTCTTTCTGAACCCAAATGAAAAATTGCTTTATTTTACAATTTCAAAAGCATCTAAAGAGGAAATAGACTAATGATTCCTTTTTTCCCCTTAGGTATTGCAGATTCTGTTTCTTCTATATTTGTGTGACATGTTGGAGAGATGAAGAGACAGCTACAAAATGAAGGTTTTCATAATGCAGTGTAACATAGTACTTCAAAGTGTTATTCAACTTCAAGTTTCAGCAACTACCTACAAAAGATTCTAAGACCCAGTAGTATTTAAAGTAAGTTTCAGAATGTTACCTTCTTGTAGAGAGATGGACAACCAAAGTCAGTGGGACACACTCCAGCGCAGAAGGCTGCAAGGAAGCCTATGGAAGAGTTTCCTGCCCTGACAGGAAATTCAGATTAGGAAATATTTTAGGTCACTGCAACTGGAGGAGGCTGCTGTTTACTTTTGTTTGCTTGTTATTTATTTGATTGTTTATTATGAGATATTTCAGGTGGGATCAAAGAGGTCATAAGAATTTATTTTCTTTTGTGGGGTATAATTACTAGCTTTAGGTTACCCCTATACACAAGAACGGCCAACCTAAAATTTTGTGTTCCTTGTACAGTTCATCATATTAGCAGCCCTCTGAGATGGTATATTGGAAGGATTTGCAACACCAATTGCTTTACCTAAACAAATGGTGCTTACTCTTTGAACAGCAGAGTGACCACGTAGAAGGAAGGAAAAGGGTAAAATCCCTTCAGTTAAACTGAAATTAAATGAACAATAAGGCAACTACATAAGTAACTTCTAGTAGCATTGTCTAAGAGACAACTTACTGTTTGATAATTTTCATTGTGAATAGGAATCCAATAGATCATATTTCTTACTTTGTTCTTTTTATACTGGAGAATAATATTTTGTTCTCTAGTATATCAAAATATCAAAATATTATCTCATATTTTCTCCCTCTCTTTCTCTTACTCTTTCTCAAGTTTTCCTGGTGGCTTTGCTTCCCTGACTAAAGAATTAAGTCTCATTTTTACTTTCCATTTCTATTTTCTGGCCACTTAGTTGACTCCCTTTGTCTCTATACTTTTACCAACATTAGGATCTCACCTCTTCCTTCCTCCCCTAATTCATAGGCACCACTCCTATCAAAGTCCCATCTCTTACCCCTGGGTATCAGTCAATCTGTGAGTTTTCCAGACTCTGTTTCCCAGTTTTCCCCTTAGCTTTCCCGGTCTCCCATCTGAACTGCTTCTTTGTGCACCTGTTTTCCTTTCCCTTGGCTCCCTGTCTTGATTCCTGTGATCACTCTTGCATCACTAATTACACAAGTGATTTCAGGTGCAATTCTGATTAGCCTGCATCTGTGCAGTGATCAATAATCCAGTGTGCCTAGAAGGGACACTGTGTGCTGTTCATGACCTGCAACCAGGAAACAAGCCATTTCTTGTTAGCAGTGTGAGAACCTTATAGCAAAAGAGTTGACCTTCTGGTTGAATATAAGTACAACCATATTAAATGAGTCAATACAAGAAAATTATTTCTGATACTATGTACGTACATATTTCTTCTCTAAACTTTGTCATTCTTTTCTAATGTATATGATCTAACAAAAATGAAACATGAAATGCAGCAGCAACCACTAAAAAAATTCAAGGACGTCTAATTTTTTCTGTCACTTTTGCCCTTTGTTTATCCTTCCCTGTGATTAGATAAACAAAATAAAAAAACAAAATGCTGTATTTCTCTTCTTACACCAATCAGAACCAATCCCAAAAGAATGTTTGTTGACTCAGGTTTAGAGGTGTTCCAGAAAGACAGATATTGACATTTTAATTGATAAATATTTTTATTATTCAGGCATGCCAGAAAAGAACTATGTCCTGCTTGACTAGTTTGTATTTGCTACTGACTTTCTATGTGATATAAATGCATTTCTAATACTCTTTCTCAAGTTCTAAAGGATTTTTAAATTTCAAAATGATTAATATGTTTCTGCTGTTGTGGATTTTGATGATATTTACAATAAAACAACCTACATTTGACTTTGGTTTAAAAAGAACCTCTTCTTAAGTGTATGGCTTACATTTCATCAACACAGTATTAATGTGTTTTATATTTACCGTGTTTTCTCAGCTCTAAATTAATATATCCAGCTTTTGGTTTTCTCCATAGGCACTTTAACCTCAGTGTTTCCAAAACTCCATTCATCATCCTCCCTAACTCCTCCCACCGCTCCCAACAAAAATCTCCTTTACCTCCTAGAGCGTCTATTTTGGTTAACAGAATCAACATTATGGAATCACCCAATCAATAAAATTAAGACAAATCCTAAACGTTTAAGCAGGTCATCTACACCTTGGTAACCCATCAATGAATTACCCACCTCCTGTGGCTACTGTCATTTCTTAGTTGCAATGTTCTTTAGTGTCATTTATCTCCATTATTCAGTAGCCTACCTATTATACTCTATGTCCCTTAATCCAGACTCAGAGTCCGCTGATTCAGATCAATGTTCTCATAGTCCATCTACTTTGTTCCCCTTGCATTTACATTTCTCAAAGATATCAATTTTTCTGTTCACAACCATTCAAGGGTTCCCAGTGCCTATGATACCATGCGAGCTCTTTTAAGTGAGCTTTCATGAAGAAACTCCTCTCTACCTTTTCAACCATGATTGCTGCTGTGCTGCATAGTTCAATCGCTCTTATGCTGTGCTCCAGCCATAACAAACTGCTTAAGTCAAAGCAACAAAATCCTCATCTAATAATTAGAAGTCATAATGAAAGTCATCAAGATGTTTCTGGGCCGGGTGCGGTGGCTCACACCTGTAATCCCAGCACTTTGGGAGGCCGAGGCGGGCGGATCACAAGGTCAGGAGATCGAGACCACGGTGAAACCCCGTCTCTACTAAAAATACAAAAAATTAGCCGGGCGCAGTTGTGGGCGCCTGTAGTCCCAGCTACTCAGGAGGCTGAGGCAGGAGAATGGCGTGAACCCGGGAAGCGGAGCTTGCAGTGAGCCGAGATCGCGCCACTGCACTCCAACCTGGGCGACAGAGCGAGACTCCGTCTCAAAAAAAAAAAAAAAAAAAAAAAGATGTTTCTGGATGTAGTTTCACAAAGATCTCAAAGTGGATACTAAATTAGCCAACCTTACAGTGATTTTCTAACCCATTTAAAAGTTATAAAGTGGGTCATCAGCACTAGAAGCAAGTGTGACTGGGCAAGGGTGGGAACTTGCAGTCTAAATTATTTTGATATTTATGTTAAGAATAACTGATATATCCTTTGATAAAACTCTTGCAACTTCTAGCTTAGTCACACCAAGAAATATAGATGTAAAGAATGAAATATAACCGTATAGTCTATGATATGATTTGGCTGTGTCTTAACCCAAGTCTCACCTTGAATTGTAATAATCCCACATGTCAAGGGCAGAGCCAGGTGGAGATAATTGAATCATGAGGGGGGTTTCCCCCTACTGTTCTCATGGTAGTGAATAAGTCTCATGAGATCTGATGGTTTTATAAATGGGAGTTTCCCTGCACAAGTTCTCTTGCCTGCCACCATGTAAAACATGCCTTTGCTTCTCCTCTGCTTTCCACCATGATTGTGAAGCCTCCCCAACCATGTGGAATTGTGAGTTCATTAAACCTCTTTCCTTTATGACTTACCCAGTCTCAGGTATGTCTTTATTAGCAGCATAACAACAGACTAATACAACAGGCCAAGAAGGGAGTTACAAATTGGCCAGGGTGATTGACCAGGACTATCAAGATGAAATCAGTCTACTACTCCACAATGGAGGTAAGGGAGAGTAGGCGTGGAACACAGGAGATCCCTTGGAGTATCTCTTAGTATTGCCATGTCCTGTGATTAATGTCAGTGGGAAACTACAACAGCCCAATCCTGGCAGGACTGCAAATGGTCCAGACACTTCAGGAATGAAGGTTTGGGTCACTCCACCAGGTAAGAAACCACAACCTGCTGAAGTTCTTGCTGAAGGCAAAGAGAATAAGGAATGGGGGTAGTGGAATAAGGTAGTCATCAATAGCAGCTTCAGCCATGTGACAAGTTGCAGAAATGAGGACTGTAATTGTCATGAGTATTTCCTCCTTATTTTGTTGAGAACATGTTTGCACATATATACACTTGTACTAAGAAAATATATTCATTTTATTTCCTTTCTTTTTGCTTTATCATGTGATGTCAGATTTGTTTACTTCATATCAACATTTAAGTGTTGTTAACTTTATGTAATAGCATTTGGGTTGGGGATTGGTGCACTTCCAGTTGTACAAAGGATAGCTGTACTGTATTAGGTGTAATTATGACCTTATTATTGTCTTTATTTGAAGATTATGTATGATTTCAGGAGATGTGGATGGGTTCAAGCTGACAAAGTTGTGATGGTTAATATTGAGTGTCAACTTGGTTGGATTAAAGGATGCGAAGTATTGTTACTGGATGTGTTTGTGAGGGTGTTGCCAAAGGAGATTAACATTTGAGTCAGTGGACTGGGAGAGGCAGACCCACCCTCAGCCTGGGTGGGCACCGTCTTATCAGCTGCCAGTGTGAAAGCAGGCATGGAAAGAACAGACCTGCTGAGTCTTCTGGCCTCCATCTTTGTCCCATGCTGGAGGCTTCCTGCCCTGGAACATCAGACTCCAAGTTCTTCAGCTTTTGGACACTTGGACTTACACCAGTGATTTGCCAGGGGCTCTGGGGCCTTCAGCCGCAGACTGAAGGCTATATTATTGGCTTCCCTACTTTTGAGGTATTGGGACTTGGACTGGCTTCCTGCTTGCAGACCTATTGTGGGACTTCATCTTGTAATTGTGTAAGTCAATACTCCTTAATAAACTCCCCTTCATATATGCATCTATCCTATTAGTTTTGTCCCTTTGGAGAATCCCGACTAATACAGTCTATTAAAATAATGATAAACGTTGACAAATAACATTTGCACCAATATTCTAAGGCACTTTGGTGACAGAACATCTATTAACATATTTTTTTCCTAAGAAATAGCAAAGCTTATAAAATAAGTACTTTTACCCCCAGATGGATAGGAAACTAGGCTTCAACTGATGATTGTACCAGATAGTTAATAAATGGCAGAGCCAGAATTTGCCCTCGAGTTTGTTGATTTCAAAGCTAGTGCCTTTTAGCCACCATGCCATTTGACTCTGTATTATATCAGCCTAGCCACCATCAGATACTGTGTATACACACATACATGAGCACACAACAGTCGTGGAGGCAAAAGCAATTATATACAATTCTGACACAAACTAGATGATAGGATCCTTATAAGAAAAAAACGCAATTGAAACCAAAGAATAGTTCAATTCCATCAAGAACTTACTGCTTGCTAGTGATAATGACTCTAGGTCAACGCTGACATACATTTTAGATTTTTAAAATAATATTATGTATTTCCTCCCATAACAAAAATTTAAGTTTTCCCAATAACCTGGCCAAGCTAGAAAAAGAAGACTAAAACTCATGTCTGATCAAAACTCTTAGCCTAATTAATGTCTTATTAGAAATGAACTGGGTCACTGCTCAGTCTGTGTCCTTTCTTCTGGAAAGCACATCTTCTTTGAGGGGACTTCTTGCTCCTGCCTCAGTTCTGCATGCATTAGAGTTCACTGCACCTCCCAGATCACAGGCATGGGAGCTGGGGGAAAGAGAAGGTTTGCCCTGTGTGAGTCCAGTGGTGCTGGAAACTGGGACCCAGCCTGAGACAGAAGCTGTTCTACTACAGGAAAGAATAAAGCCAACACCTACAGAGAAGAGATGAGACAAAAAAGATCTCAGAGTGTTCCGGGAATATAGCACTCCAGGAACTGGACCCAGTCCTTGTGGCATCAGAGTTTCCAGGCTCCTCTTTCAAGGCTTTTTGGGCAGTGTTCATTTGAATTCTGCAAGCTGGTAATCCTCTAGTATATCCCCTCTAGACAAACTGCAGATAGGTTTCTGTCTTTGGTCATTAAGATTCCTAACAAATACAATCAATATTTCAAAAACAATACAAGGAGAAAGATTAATACTTTATTATTATTAAAATTTTATTTGAAAGTCTTTGTACAGAATAACATATTGTACTGCATAAAATACTTGAAATAGCTGAAGTTTACAAGTTTATAAAGATGAAACAATGAGATAATGATTACATTAAGTGGTTACATTAATTCTCAGGGGAAATTGAATTTTTAATAGGAAAACACCCTATGTACAATGTTACTATTTAAATGAATTCTTTCTCATCTTATTGCTTAGTCTTGCCACAAACAAGCGGTAATAAAATTATTTCTAGAATTAAATCAGAGCATCGTGGTGCTGAACAACATATGTATACATATATTAAAACTATTTATGAAAATTCATAGAAAATAAAAAATAGACTGTGAAACCAGTATTCTTCATAGATTTTGCAGATGATTTTAATCTGATTCATCACTGCTGAAGTAGGAGCTATCACAGTATTCAGCTGTATACAGAAATTTGTGAATGGTTGGGTTCATCTTCGGTATCCAGTGTCGGGGAATCAGGTATGTTGAAAGATTAAATAAATCTACGAATACCTTATACCTATCACTGGAAAAACACATACATGAAGATGTGTTACATTGGTTGACATGAAATATTTAAAATTTTCAATTAGAAAGTTTATTTCTCTGATATTTTCCATAATTAATTAGTATTCAATATTATAATACACACCGCATGTTGTATATATCATATATTAAATTAGGTATTATGTAGTATTAGTATTGATTGCCTACTTTTTATTCCATTTTCAAAGTTTATGCCCACAAAACAGTATTATGTGTTTTAGAACAGGGTGTTTCATATTAAAACTGAGAGTCTTATTGCTGGCACCTTCATAAAGATAAGGATGTGTTCTCACTTCCTACTTCTGAAGGATGGTATGCAAGGTAATACATGTAACCCATACAGAGTCTTAGATGCTCATTTGGAAATATTTCCAACTGAAAAGCTGCCAAATAACTGCCCTAAGGGTTTAATGGACTCATAATAAATGTCTACGAAG